GGGAAAACTGGACAGCTACATGTAAAAGAATGTACACCTAGACAAAGTGTACCTAAAGGATGAAATTAGAACATTCCCTAACACCATATACAAAAATAAACTCCAAATGGATTAAAGACCAAAATGTAAGACCAGACACTATAAAACTCTTAGAGAAAAACATAGGAAAAACACTCTTTGACATAAACCACAGCATGATTTTTTTGACCCACCTCCTAGAGTAACAGAAATAAAAAAAAAAACAAAAACAAATGGGACCTAATTAAGCTTAAAAGCTTTTGCACAGCAAAGGAAACCATAAACAAGACAAAAAAACAACTCTCAGAATGGGAGAAAATATTTGCAAATGAAACAACAAAGGATTAATCTCCAAATTATACAAACAGCTCATGGAGATCAATACCAAGAAAACAAACAATCCAATTAAAAAATGGGCTGGAAGACCTAAATAGACATTTCATCAAGAAAGACATAGAGATGGCCAAGAGGCACATGGAAAGATTCTCAACATCACTAATTATTAGAGAAATGCAAATCAAAACTACAATGAGGTATCACCTCATGCCTGTCAGAATGGCTATTATCAAAAAGTCTAGAAACAATAAATGCTGGAAATGGTGTGGTGAAATGGGAACCCTCCTGCACTGTTGGTGGGAATGTAAATTGATACAACCACTATGGAAAACAGTACGGAGGTTCCTTAAAAAACTATAAATAGAACTACCATATGACCCAGCAATCTCACTACTGGGCATATACCTTGAAAATACCATAATTAAAAAACAGACATGTACCACAATGTTCATTGCAGCACTATTCACAATAGCTAGGACATGGAACGAACCTAAATGTCCACCCACAGATGAATGCATAAAGAAGATGTGGCACATATATACAATGGAACATTACTCAGCCATAAAAAGAAACAAAATTGAGTTATTTGTAGTAAGGTGGATGGACCTAGAGTCTGTCATACAAAGTGAAGTACGTCAGAAAGAGAAAAACAAATACCGTATTCTAACGCATATATATGGAATCTAAAATTTTAAAAAAATGGTACTGATGAACCTAGTTTCAGGGCGGGAATAAAGATGTAGACATAGAGAATGGAGTTGAGGACATGGGGTGGGAGGGGGAAGTTGAGCAAAGTGAGAGTAGCATCAACATATATACACTACCGAATGTAAAATAGTTAGCTAGTGGGAAGCAGCAGCAGAGCACAGGGAGATCAGCTCGGTGCTTTGCGATGACCTAGAGGGGTGGGATAGGGAGGATGCGAGGGAGGCTCAAGAGCGAGGGGATATGGGGACATATGTATGCATATGGCTGATTTGCTTTGGTGTACAACAGAAACTAACACAGTACTGTGAAGCAATTATACTCCAATAAGGATGTATTAAAAAAAAATCATTCCTACTCCCATATAGTACAAATAAGAAGAAATATACACCTAGACAAAGTGTATCAAAAATGCAAAATAAACCAAACATAAAGAGGAAAACTTTAAAAGGAATAAGAGAGAAAACAACAGCAATTAGACAGACAGCACATAGGTATTATAAACTCAGCAATTAGAGATGTCAGTGGAAAATGGAATAATATCTTTAAAATGCTGAGGGAAATAAGCATCAACCTAGAATTCTGTACTTAGCTATAAGCCATCACTCACAAATTGTAGTAAAATTAAAACTATTTTCAAAGACTGGGAGAACTTGCTACTAACAGACTCTAGTTGAAAGAACTAATGAAGGAAGAAGAGAACAATCCTCGAAGAAGTGGATGCAAGAAGCAATAATGGCACAGAATATAGAAAATGCCAGAGTGCATCTCAGGCAATAAGGACAAGTATTATTTGATGAAACTTGTGTTTTGGTTTCATATATTTATTGTTTACATATGTACACTATTCAATTTACAACTTTTTTTAAAAGAGAAGCAACTGAGGGGAAAGAAACTGGCAAACATGCTGAAAAATTCAAATTAGTATTTACTTAAAAAAATACAAGACAGTGCAGTGGTTAAGAATCCACCTGCCAATGCAGGGGACACGGGTTCAAGCCCTGGTCTGGGAAGATCCCACATGCCACAGAGCAACTAAGCCCTGCACCACAACTACTGAGCCTGCGCTCTAGAGCCCACAAGCCACAACTACTGAGCCCGCGAGCCACAACTACTGAAGCCTGCATGCCTAGAGACCATGCTCTGCAACAAGAGAAACCACCACAATGAGAAGCCCGCACACAGCAACAAAGAGTAGCCCCCGCTCGCCACATCTAGAGAAAGCCCGGGCGCAGCCAACAAAGACCCAACCTAGCCAAAAATAAATAAATTAAAAACAAAAAAAAGTTTAACAACAACAACAGCAAAAATACAAGACAAAGGAGACTAAGTGGGTGGGTTAAAAACAAGGTAGAACAAAAATACTAGAAAACATTATCGGAGAAAATGTGAAAAGGCATATCAGTGTTAAAAGTCTAAAGTCCTTATATTGTTTGGGAGGTAAATATATTCATCTCAACACTCAACTCTGAATGTTGAAAACTGACGAATAATCACTAGGAGATTAAAAATAGAATGTATAATTTCTAAACAAACAGGGAAAGAGAGAATATAGAAAACTCAATACAAGAGAAGGAAAGAAAGGACAGAAAGTAAAGAAAAAATAAGGAGTAAATAGGAAGCACAAAATAAGATAATAGAAATAAGCACAAATATATCAGTAATCACAGTAAATGGAAACTGATTATACTTGATGATTAAAACACAAATTATGTAATTATTTAAAAGAATGAAATTTAGCTATATGCTGGACACAGCTACAACATAATCACTCAGCTTGAAAGTAAAGGGATGTCTAATGTACAGGAAATACAGGGAACAGAGGAACATGTTAAATGACACCACAGAGATTCAATTAGCAAATTATAGACTCCAAAAAATACTTAAGGACAAACAACGAGGTTTCTTCAACAAATAAACTAGAAGGGAAAAAGAGAGATAAAGGAGTAACACAGAAGTTAAAGGAAACTTTTAAGCCATCAACCAACTGCCATGTATAGACCTTATCTGGACTTCAACTAGACCAAATAAACTATTTTTTTAAATGAGGCAACTGGCAATAGTTGAACACTAATTAGATACATGACAGTATCAAGACTTTTTAAAAAAGAAATGACAATACTATTATTTTTTAAAAGGAGACCTTATCTTTTAGAGATATATATAAAATATTTATGGATAAAATAATGTGCTGCCTGGAATTTGCTTTAAAATAATTCAGGAAAAGGTAGGAAGAGTGGGTGGGATTGGCCATGAGTTCCTAATTGTTAAAGGTGATTGTTGGGTACATGAAGGTCAATTATACTATTCTATCTGCTATTGAAATATGCTTGAAATTTTCCATTAAAATTTTTAAAAAATAAAAAGTACTAAAAAAGATATACCAGGCAAAAGAAAGCAGGAATGGACATATTAATATTAGACAAAATTGACTTTTGAGTCTAAAAAGTATTACTGCGAATAAAGAGAGTCATTAATGATAAAAGGGACAAAATTCAACAAAAATAATCATCATGAACTATATTCATTTTATAGCACAGCCTCAACTACATAAAGAAACATTTAACAGAATTATAAAGAGAAATAAATAACTCCACAAGCATTGTGGGTAATTTTTAATGCACCCTTCTAAACAGTATAATTTAGAAGTCTGACTATTATATATGTGTGTGTGACTACACATATGAATTTATTTATTTATTTGTTTGTTTGGCTGTGCCGGGTCTTAGTTGCAGCATGTGGGATCTTTGTTGCCGCGTGCGGGATCCTCGTTAAGGCATGCAGGATCTTTAGTTGCGACATGTAGGATCTTTAGTTGCAGCACGTGCGCTCTTAGTTGCAGCATGCGGGATCTAGTTCCCTGACAAGGGATTGAACCCAGGCCCCCTGAATTGGGAGTGCAGAGTCTTAACAACTGGACCATCAGGGAAGTCCCCACATATGAAATTTTATGTAGGATTTTATGTAGGAGATGTGTGTGTGTATATATATAAACCAACATAAAACACTTATTCTTTTCAAATAGAGAATATTTACAAAAACTGACTGTATATACTGAGGGAAATTTTAACAAATATCTAAGAATGACATTATTATACACTCACCTAATCACAATACAATGAAAATAAAGTACAAAAATACAGCCCAAGCCCCATAATATTTGGAAGCTAAAAACTCCTTTTATGAGCTAAAGAAGAAACCCTAATATAAACTGCTAACTATTTCGATCTGAACACCACCAAAAGATGTAACATATCAACACTCTTATCTGGGTCCTTTCAGAAACATGTTCAGCCTCAAATGCATTTATTAGAAAAAATAAAAAAAGAAAGAATGAAGTTAGGAAAAATCCAACAAGGTAAGGCCCCAAAAGCAGAAAAAATAATAAAGCTAGGAGTAGAAATTTATGAAAAAGAAAATTAAGAAACAATAGAGAGAATCAATGAACTAAAACCTGTTTTTTGGCAAAATGCATTAAACTGCTGACAAGACTCAATGAGAGAATGTAGATATAAACAACTATAGTTACAGTAGAAATTTATTTAAATAACTACCCTAATTCCATTCATTAAGAAACGAAAAAACAATACTTCACCACTGCCGTGTCATTTAACCTGAACCTCAAATTCTAGCTCAGCTGATGACCACAGACAAACAAGCACCTCAGCACAAAGCTCTGTGTGACCCTCAGCAGTGTGTGGCCGCGGATGTGGAGTGAGGTCCAGCCCACAGTGTCCACCTCTGGTTCAAACGCCAGGGGAGGGTACAGCGTCGGGCTTCTCGGAAAAAACACTGGCCTGAGGTGGAAGCCCTCATCTAAAAATGAGGGGACGGATGGCTTCAGCTCCCATAAGAAAACTATTCCCAGTTCTGGCACACCAAAAAGAAATACTTATCCTTTCAAAAAAAGGCTTCAGTCCCACCCCCGACCCCTCACAAACCTTCTTCAGGAATGTGAATGGTTTTTGAAGGCAGTGTTTTTTCAGATTCGGGGCCAGAAGACAGCTCAATGTGATCTACAGGTTCAACCTGTAGAAAAACATGCACAACAAAATAACTGCTACAAATTGTATGGTTTGATAATTTCAAAACATCATAAACGATTTTATGTAGGTTTTACACATTTGTATTAATGCAACAAATGAAAGAACAGGATTAAATCCAATATGAGCTAAATGGTGAGAGCTGATGAAGAGGAGTAAATTTTTACTTATTTTGTATCTTAACCGATTTAACCTTTTAAGAGGTTCAGGAAAATTGCATTATAAATTTTACAATGGGGAGGAATGATAACTACCATCTAGACAAAACTTTTCTTTTTTTTACATAGTTCACCTTTATTTTATTTATTTATTTTTTATTGAAGTATAGCTGACTTACAATGTTATACTAGTTTCAGGTGTATAACACAGTAATTCAATATTTTTATACACTACACACCATACAAAGTTATACAATATTATTGACTATTTCCCTGTGCTGTACATTACATCACCATGACTTTTTTTTTTTTTTAAATAAATGGTAGTTTGTACCTCTTAACCCCCTTTACCTATTCGGCCTATCCCCCAACCACCTCCCCTCCGGCAACCACTGGTTTGTTCTCTGTATATATGAGTCTGTTTCTGTTTTATATGTTTATTTGTTTTGTGTTTTAGAAAGTCTCTTCAACAAATGATGTTGGGAAAACTGGACAGCTGCATTTAAAAGAATGAAACCATTTTCATAGACCATTTTCTTACACCATACACAAAAATAAACTCTAACTGGATTAAAGACTTATATGTAAGACCTGAAACCATAAAACTCCTAGAAGAAAACAGGCAGTACGCTCTTTGACATTGGTCTTAGCGATATATTTTTTGGATCTGTCTCCCCAGGCAAGTGCAAGAAAGGAAAAATAAACAGAGACTACATCAAACTAAAAAGCTTTTGCACAGTGAAGGAAACCAACAACAAAACAGAAAGGCAACCTACAGACTGGGAGAAAATATTTGCAAATACTATCTTCAATAAGAGATTAATATGTAAAATATTTAAAGAACTCAAATAACTCAATATCAAAAAAACAAACAATCCAATTTAAAAATGGGCAGAGGACATGAACAGACATTTTTCCAAAGACAACATACAGATGGCCAACAGACACATGAAAAGATGCTCAACATCACTAATCATCAAGGAAATGCAAATCAAAACCACAATGAGATAGCACCTCATGCCAGACAGAATGGCTATTATCAAAGAGACAAGTATTGACAAGGATGTGGAGAAAAGGGAACTCTTGTGCACTGCTGGTGGGAATGTAAATTAGTGCAGCCACTATGGAAAACAGTATGGAGGTTCTTCAAAAAAAATAAAAATAGATCTAACATACAATCCAGCAATTCCACTTTGGGGTATTTATCTGAAGAAAACAAAACCTTTCATTTTAAACATGAGGGAATAAGGCCCAGAGAAATTCAGTGACTTGCAAATCCAGAACATGGACTTGAACCCGTATCTTTAAGGCATGTAGTCGGTGTGTCCACGGTGTCCCTCAGCCTCTTCCAGACCTACAAGCTGTTTTCTTAAACTAAAATGGGCAAGTAAAAATCTTTGTATTTATGTGTGCATTATAATAGGGTGAGAACATTTTAAGCCAATATGCCAAACCTTTCATTTAAATCAATTCTATTTCCTTCAAAGTAGTCACCTCGGAAGAATAGAGTTTGATCAACCATTTTTAGAACTCTTCTTTTGAAATTGTCTCCCAAGCTTGTGCTACAATTACTAATAACTGTTCCATTAGTAAGTCTTTATTATATGAAAATGATTTTATTTCTGTCAGAATCTAAAAATGAGTGCACGGAGACAGCCATTAAATAAAGTTATCAATTGCCTGCATGCACCAAGCAAAAGACATAATTCCTACCTTCCAGTTTGGAAAGGCTTGGGCTGAGAGGGGACCTGTATCAGAATTTGCGGGAACTTTCAAAAAATACAAGTGTGTGACCTACGCCCTCCTCCTTGCAAAGTCACTCCCCTTCCTCTCTCTCCGCCCCACGCCTTTCAATAGGGCTGGCATGTATATTTTGAAGAAGCATCCCAAGTGATCTTGACATGCACAACTGTCCTTTTATCTAATGATCCAGATCTGTGGAAATTCTTCTTGAAATTCCTCCTCTGGCTTGCTTTCTCCTGAGCATTCCCTCCCTCAGATTATTTTCTTAAGCTTTGTTGTTGAATCCCCATCCTTAAAAGTTAGTGCACCCACAGAATTCTGATCTTAACCCACTTTTTCCTTACTCAATAAGCTCTCTCTGGGTGAGTGCCCTCACTACTATAATTTGAACTTTCTCCTAACTGATGACTCTAAAATCTGTACCATCACCCCGGATCTAGCTCCTGAGCTCCAGAAGCATCAATAGATATCCAAATGCCTACTAATCTCACAGCACCTCAAATTTCACGTGGCCCTCACTGAAATCTCTGTCTTACTCCTCCCAAAAGACACACACTTCCTCTACCCTAGTTTAGAAAATGACTCCAACATTCACCCAGGCTGGAAATCTGGAGTCTACTGTGAATCTCTGCATTATTCTTCACCTTCCCACAGCCACTCAACCTCTGAATCCTGCTACATCCTCCCTCCATCCCCAGTGCCAAAGTTCAGGTTATTATTATTTCTTGGCTTGGTACTATTCACCAGATCCCAAACACCAATCAATAGACCTGATATAGGGCTTCCCTGGTGGGGCAGTGGTTGAGAGTCCGCCTGCCGATGCAGGGGACACGGGTTCGTGCCCGGGTCTGGGAAGATCCCACATGCTGCGGAGCGGCTAGGCCCGTGAGCCATGGCCGCTGAGCCTGCGCGTTCGGAGCCTGTGCTCCGCAGCGGGAGAGGCCAAAACAGTGAGAGGCCCGCATACCGCCCAAAAAAAAAAAAAAAAAATAGACCTGATATAGAGCTAACTGATTAAGAATCATTTATGAAACTTGTTAATAATACAGATTCCTGGGCTCTAACCCAGACCTACCTAAAATCAGAATTTCATAGGTATGGGGCCCATGAGTTTGCACTTCTGACAGTTCCCAAGTTGATTCTAACAAACAGCTAGCCTAGAACTACTGTGACCCAACCAATCTCCCTGTTCCTAGTCTTTTCCTCTCCATTCTATTCACCACATGGCTGCCAGAGTGTCTGATCATATCATTTCAGTGCTTAAAATTCCTCAGTGGTTCCCTATTGCCTGCTTATAGAATAAAATCCTACTCTCTTGGCACAGCAAACAACACTGCCAGGCATCTTAAAGCCCAGTCCCATCAACTGCTACCTTCCGCTAACATTGACATAGTTCCCCAAATACTCTATGCCATTCTGCTTTTGCTCACGATGTTTTCATCAGCCCTTGCTCATCGAACTGATGAATATCAATTCATTATCAGTTCAAGAATCACCTCTACGAAGCCTTCTCTGGTGCCATAGCTTCACTTACCTATACAGTCACAACAGGCCATATGTACCTGTGTGTCCTTACAGCACCCTGTTCACATGTATTTTTGGTGCATACATCTATCTTCTTTTATTAGATTCTAAGCTCCTTGAGAGTAGGGACTATGCCTTATTTACTCTCCTATTCCCAGAACTTAGCACAGGGCCTAGCATGTGGTAGAAGGTCGATAAATGTTTGTTAAAGGAACGAATGATTCATGGGCTCTGGAGAAGTGAACAAGCCAGGAACAAGACTAGATTCAGGTGTAAGTAACATATCTGGCTTTAGATACGCTTAATAAACTAGAAGATAAGGGATTTTGAAAGGGATTCCTTGGAATATGGACTTCCAAGGACAACTCTGACACTCAACACTAATTTGGATATAACAGATCTAAACCTGGATTAAAAACAAAAAGGAAAACAACCAACAAAACACCATAATGTCATTACTTAATAGTAGTCCTGAAACTAACACAACATTGCAAATCAACTACACTCCAATAAAAATTTTAAAAAAAACCAGTAGTCCTACTTCATATATTTTTTTCAGTGTAGTTTCACATACCTTTTAATATGTTTAACCTTAACCTTTTAATAACTGTTAAATGTTTGGATTAAAGAAATGCTATAAAGCTAATAAATTTATCTTTTAAACTATCAACATCTTAGCAACCTGGAATATTTGTTAGACATGTCACTGATGGAATTCTTTTCCTGCAAACCAATTTGCATTTCTCAATATAAGGCTTTAACACATTCAAAATATTTTTACCATTTGTTCGTTAACCTTTATTTTATATAAATTTTATTTCCTAAAAAAAAGACAGGATGCTTGTGCAAAGTAAGTAATTAACGTTTGAGACTTCCTTCCTATTGGTCTAACTACCATGATATACCAATATACATAAACATCAATCTCTTTATTCTGAATACTTTTTAAAGATACAGAAGACTTCTAAGCACTAGTAATCCCATTGTATAAAATATCTGAAAGAAACAGAATTCAAAATATAAGGACAACACTGTTTGTAAAGTTATAAAAATCTTGCCGAAGAAAATGATACTCAATTATGAGCAGGGTTTATCTAAAACCACATTCTGGTTTTGTAATTCATATATTTATTTTCCTGGTAGGAAGCAAGAGTTCACTTCTTAAAAGGTTAACGTTTAAGTGGTTCTCAACTGGGAGTGATTTTGTCTCCCAGGGGACATTTGGCAATGCCTGGAGACATTTTTGATTATTATAGCTGAGGGGAATGCTACTGACAGCTAGTGGGTCAAGACCAGGGATGCTACTAATTATCTTACAATGCATGGGACATACTCCCACAACAAAGAAATATCTGGCCCAAATGTCAACAATGCTGAGGTTGAGAAACCCTAGCCTAAAGAAACCAAATTTCCCATTATTTTGAAAAATCAAGAGTCTAAAATTATATCACACTACAAATTTAATAAGTAGGTAACAAACAGAAAACTATAATAAAGACAGCCTACCTTAATACAATGTCGGTCTAGCATGATACGTCTCGGGTAATTCTGCTCTATGTTTTCAGCAATGTTCTGTATTGCTAACAGCTGTTCATCAATTTTCTGAAGCTTTGAGGTGAGATGCTCTAGCCGGCGAGCTGCAGAGCTTGGCGCAGGACGAGTGGTAGAGACATCCTGTAGTAGTTCCCACAGCGGGTAATCTGAGGCATCTGACTTTGAGCTTCGTTCCTTGAATCGAAGATCTGGCTTCGGAGTATCTAAATATTAATAAAGGTAATATCAGAATTGACTACAATTAAAACAGAAATAGGGGCTTCCCTGGTGGCGCAGTGGTTGAGAGTCCACCTGCCAATGCAGGGGACGCAGGTTCGTGCCCCGGTCCGGGAGGGTCCCACATGCCACGGAGCGGCTGGGCCCGTGGGCCATGGCCGCGGGGCCTGCGCATCCGGAGCCTGTGCTCCGCAGCGGGAGAGGCCACAAAAATGAGAGGCCCGTGTACCGCAAATAAATAAATAACTTGAGTTCAATAACAAAAAAAATCATAGAATAAATTTTTTTAAAACGAAAAAAAAAAACCAACCCAAAAACAGAAGTAGGGCTTCCCTGGTGGCGCAGTGGTTGAGAGTCCACCTGCCAACGCAGGGGACGCGGGTTCGTGCCCCGGTCAGGGAGGATCCCACATGCCGCGGAGCGGCTGGGCCCGTGAGCCATGGCCGCTGAGCCTGCGCATCTGGAGCCTGTGCTCCGCAACGGGAGAGGCCGCAACAGTGAGAGGCCCGCGTACCGCAAAAAAAACAAAAACAACAACAACAACAAAAAAAACAGAAGTAGATGCAGATCTACTTTTTTGAAGACCTCATTTTAAGTCAACATAACATTCCCTTCCAAATCAATTTTAACTTAATATACCTAGAAATACCATTTCAGCTTCTTGACTTCTGAGATTTGTCTTTGTCGTGAGATAAGAATACATAACAGTGTTACCATTACCACAAAGTTCCATATACAATGCAATTTGAATGTTACTTTTATCTTCTGCTACAAAAATACACTTCATCAAAAAGCAACCTTACAATTTTTATGACTTTTTAAAACTCTCCTTGAAAACCAACAATGTCACACAGTAAAACCTAGGTCCAATGTTGGCCATTACTGCTTCTACGTGGGCTCTTAGGCAAACATTAAACCTCCCAAGGCCCATATCAAAGCCAATGACTGACTCTACTCTTAAGCCCAACTGATCGTTGTCACGAATTTAAAACACTTTTGGCTTCTGGGTCTTCTCCTCCCTATCTCGCTCTCCCTTCTCAGTTGTCGTCTTGGTCTTCCCTTCCGCCACCCACTCCTTTTACCCTTCAGTATTTCCAGGGCGCCAGTCTCAGCTCATGTCTCTTCTCACTTTACCCACCCTCTCTGGGTGAGGTCTCAGATGCACTGCTGACTCTCACATCCAAATGGCACTCTTTCTGAGCTCCAGCCCTTAAATCCATCTGTATGCTGGTCATCTCAGTTAGGCTGTCCCCAAAGCATATAAAACCAAACTCATCACTTCAGCCCATTCACCTTGCTCCTTCCCTGATTCCCCAGCTCAGGGAGTAAGCACTATCATTCACCGAGCTTCCCAAGCCAGAGGCCTGAGACACATTCGAGGTTCTTCCTTCCTTCAGTTCCAACGTGACACCAAATATTGAGGATCCACGTACCTATCATCTCCTCATTCCTACTACCAGTGCTTAACTGAAGCTTTCACAACCAATGGACCCCAAACAGTATCCTTATCTCTAACTTATGTCACTTCTCTCTAGCCCAACTTCCACACAGGCCCTAGAGAGATCTTTTAAAACCCAAATCTGGTATTTTTCCTTTTCTACCTGAAATCCTTCAGTGTTTCTCTAATGCCTTCACCTTAAAAGTTCAAATGTCTCAGTATGAGAGACAATGGCATTGTCTTCCCTTGGCCTACCTATCCAGCTCATTTCTCGCTATTTCTTTAAAAAACAAAAATTCCAAGCACACTGAACTTTAATTTTCTCAAACTCAGCAAGCTCCATCAAACCTCTGAGTCACTGCACAATCTATTCTCTCCATCTGTATGCACCTTTCCCTCGCTAGATCCTACTTTTAAGATTCCATTTAGGTGGCTCTCCCTTAAATAGCCCCAATCCTCCCCAGATATGGATTAGATGCTATATTTCCCAACAGTCTCATCCTTATCACTGTAACTGCACTTACCATGCTGTATCATAATCATCTCTTTACTTCCCTGCCTTCCTTCCCATGTATGAGCCCAAGGACACAGAGCCTGGTATTACTCTCTTCTTCAGTCCCAATATATTGTCCCTAACTTAGTGTTGAGTGAATGAAGAGTTGGTCAAATGAGGATTATGATGCCTGTCCTACCTAACTCATAGAGGTTTTGTGAAGATCAAATTATCCAACAAAATACTCTGAAAACTGTGAACTACTAAACAAATGTTAAGTAGTGATTATATTTCAGTCCCAGTCTAAGGAGAAGCTTCCCATGAGAAGATAAAGGTAAATTCCAATGTTGGCAATGCCAGTCACATAATCTTTCCCTACCTGTTTTGGCCCTACCCTTTTTTGAGCTTGACTCTCACAGTACTTTGCCACCTATCCTTCTTGTTTCTTGGCAGCCTGCAGTATCTCCCTTATTCACGCAGGAAAGAATCTGGTGTGCAAACTTCAAGTAGAATATACAGCAAAAAAGAGATGGATGTGCTCAAAATCTGGAATGGCTTACATACATAATGAAACTAGTTTCCCTTCCTATGGAGAAACTGTTCCACTCTCACTGACTAACTGAAAAAAAATCACTTAGGAGGTGATTTAAAATACTGAGTTCCACTGACCCTGCAATGCTCTCCCTCTGCCTAGCAAAGCTCTGCTTGCTGTTACTGATAGTATTCCTGTTGGAGATGGTTTCTAAAATAGTAAGCTACTGTCATTCAAAATGGTGAGGTCTCACTAAAACAGAAATGTATTGTTTGTTTGGCTTTTGCTTTTGTTTTAAATACCTAAGAACCCTGTCCCTCCCTTCTCCCAGCCTTTTCTTATAATACAAATCCCACTCAACTCTACTGTGACTATATTCTGACTCTTTAAAGTATATTATGTATATCATGATGGAATTTAATTTCACAATATAAAACTCTTCCTTTTAAATTGGCATTTTTAAGTTCTCTTTAGTAATAGTAGAAGGGTCCACTGACATATTTTCATGACTGATCTCCTCAGAGAAGGATCTTCCAAAAGGTTGAATACAGACTTGATCTCACTGATGGAGGAAATTAACCTGTAGCTTATAGTCATTTTAAATGCTGTCCTAAGATATTCTGAGGTCACAGGGAGATCAGTCCGGTTCTAGTTTGTCAGAAGTTCAAAAGTCAAGTTGGCGTGAAAATGAAGGGAAACTAACAGGGTACTTAAGTAGTCACAGGCATTTGGCTAGATGCAACCCTCATGACAACCCTATGAGGTTGTATCCTACAGAGATACAAGTGAGGATCAGATAAAGTTAATTACCTGCAAAAAGTCTCCAAGCTATTAAGTAACAGGGCTGAGACTGAAAGCCAGGTCTGTTCTATTTGAATCTACTGATAAAAGCCAAGGTCTTTTCATTTCCCCACACACTTCCCCGGCCTGAAAGACTGTCAGCTTCAGACATCCTCCCTCCACTACCCATGCACCTAGCAGTCCCATGGCAGGGGAGAGAGAGGACAAAGCCTTCAAAATCTGAAATGCTGGTACTTATTGTATACACAGCTGTAATACACATGCTCTAACACATCCTAAGGTGAAGTTTCCCTGCTATCCATCCCTTCCTTGCTCCTCACATCTCCTGAGTGTCTGCTGTTGATGCACAATGAAAAGGCAGCGCTGGACTTTGCACCCAAGCAGCTGATGACCACAAGGATAGGTCCATTCCTCCCAACAGGTGTGGAAGCCAGAAGAGGCATTAGGTCTCTGCTGCAGGAAGTCTGATTACATACTAGATTAACCTAATGATTCACAGCATGTAATAAGTTTAGGTTTTGGAGAAACATTCTTCTAAATCTTGCAAATATTTTACAATAATGCAACCTGATTTATGACTATAAAACTGAATATTTTACTAATAAAGTACTATTGGCTACCAAGCCTGTGTATTTTCTATGTGCTATTCTAGAACTTCCCACCTTCTAAAATATGAGAATTCCTTTTTAACACCAAAACACTCATGAAATTCCACAGGATATTTATTTTTAGCCTCATTAATTGAGAAAAGACATATGCACAAACAGATCTGTAGTTTCCTTGCACAATATCCCTGGGTCCCAGGCTTGGAACCATGACTCTATCTCATTTACCTATCTGCTCCTACTCTCCTTAGCAAGGGAAAAACCCTTTTTCTGGTTTCCTCTGCAGTGATCAAGTTTTAGTGCTTATTTCTAATATAACGGTAATTCAGAGAAAGGGGAAAGTTCTGCTATAAATCTAGGGCATTCACCTTTGTCCTGCTGTATGTCTGATGGTGGAGGTGAGGTGATGCAAGGCTCCTTCACTTCTGGAATGCCTGCTCTCCAGCTTCTTCCATCCAGAAAGGTTGGAGACACTTCTGCAGGTTTAAACAATAAATCCATAGCAGAATTGCCAGATTCTATCAAGAAAAGAAAGGCATAAAAAGATTGATTCTAAACTTATAAACAAGGTATTTAAAAGATTAATAGAACATTTCTAAATGTGAATATAAACATCTAAAATTACAGTGAATTTGGACTTCCCTGGTGGCACAGTGGTTGAGAATCCACCTGCCAATGCAGGGGACATGGGCTCGAGCCCCGGTCCAGGAAGTTCCCACATGCCACGGAGCAACTGGGCCCATGTGCCACAGCTACTTAGCCTGTGCTCTAGAGCCCGCAAGCCACAACTACTGAGCCCACGTGCCTGGAACCCGTGCTCCGCAACAAGAGAGACCACTGCAGTGAGAAGCCCACACACTGCAACGAACAGTCGCTCCCGCCGCCACAACTAGAGGAGGCCCGTACGTAGCAACAAAGATCCAACACAGCCAAAAATAAATAAATCAATCAATAAATACGTTTATTAAAAAAATAAATAAAATAAAATTACAGTGGATTTGGAGGAGGAGAGCTAAGAGACATAAGTAGGGGTAACAATGCTATATTAAAGAATTTTTCAAAATGTTTTAAATTTATTTTAAAAGTAAAAAAAATTATTACCTTGACCCTTAAAATTGTGCAGGGGAAGAGCATTAGTAACTGAAGCTGCCATGTAATGTAGTTCTGCAGAAGATGGGACTTCTAGACGATCGCTTTGCTGTTTGATACTATTATCATCTGAAGGCTCTTCTCTAACAGGTAATTTGTGTAGATCATCAGCTTCAATGTCAATCACATTTATGTAAGTGTGCCCAATCTGAACCAAAACACACAAAATCAAAGAGGGTTACATTCTTTTCACTTCTACTACGGCCACTCTACCCTACCCCTGCCCCAGAAAGGTTTAATTCTCAAGGCAAGAAGAGCTTATATAAGCCTAACTTAGGGCAAACTTCAGGAAGTATGTGTGATGGTTTTGGTTTACAGTATTTGAGGGCACAATATTTAAATTTTAAACTAATTTTTGACCTTTCCAACAAATCTATGTAGATGAGATTTTTGGCCTCATTTCACCTATACAACTGAATAATGCAGATGACCATAATAAAATTTAGCACAAAGGTATTATTAAAACTTCTTATTAAAACTTCCAAATTTAGTACCGTTTCACTTGCTGAAGGTGACAGAGGTTTCTCTGATATTTCAGTGGAAAGTTTGAGATTCAGATATACATCTGGTGCCAAAAGTTGAGGAACACTGAAAGATTCATGTTCTAAAAATAAGAAAAATCAGGATAGTAAAAAAATCTGTAAATAGCTCTATGTCATTAACTTGGTAAGAAAAAGTTAGCAACAAACAACATTAAAGACATTTGTTGGACGGACTTCCCTGGTGGCACAGTGGTTAAGAATCCACCTGCCAATGCAGGGAACACGGGTTCAATCCCTGGTCCAGGAAGATCCCACATGCTGTGGAGCAACTAAGCCCATGCACCACAATTACCGAGCCTGTGCTCTAGAGTCCGCGAGCCACAACTACTGAAGCCCGCGCACCCTAGAGCCTGCGTGCCGCAACTACTGAGTCCACACACTGCAGCTACTGACGCCCGCGTGCCCTAGGGACCGTGCTCTGCAACAAGAGAAGCCACCGCAGTGAGAAGGCTGCACACCACAACAAAAAGTAGCCCCTGCTCGCTGCAACTAGAGAAAGCCTGCGCACAGCAACGAAGACACAACGCAACCAAAAAAAAAAAAAAGGATATTTGTTGAAAATCTAAGTAGAAGTTTCATAGGTATAAATAAATTAAAGCAAATTGTATTCTATTCTAAGGGCAAATTACTCTAGAATAATTCAGAATTGATGCATATTGACTATTGCTTTTCTCATATGAATGGCTCACAAGAATAATGAAATATCTAAGTCATACCAAGAACATGCTATAATTTCATTTTTCAATTTCAGATATATTAAGTCAGTTTTGCTTGTTTAAAATTTCAATAAAACCAGGCTTTAGGAAATTAATCATAACTAATTAATTTTTTTACTTTCCACACAGTTTCTTGTTGCTTGTTCGCTTGTTTAACCAGCTTTATGGAGATGTAATCCACCTCCTTTAAAAATGTACAATTCAGTAGTTCTTAGTATATATAAAGACCATAGCTAAATTTTACCACTTAAAATGTTTAATATCTTAATTTTACAAAAGCCATTAGCTTCTTATTCAAAACAATATAGAAGCCTGTCACAATAAGTCAGCAGTCTAACTCTGTGACTTTTGTCCTACAACTCTAATCTTATTTCCTAGCATTGTATTTTTTTCCCCTAGCATTGCATTTTTAATAGAACATTACTTTCAAATTTCACAAGCAAAATATAACTCGTTGCAATACTGAGTACTGGAAACTTGGCACCAAGGCTTGAATTTAAACCACGTGACAACCAAAAAACTAGAAAAAAAGGGCTTCCCTGGTGGCACAGTGGTTAAGAATCCACCTGCCAATGCAGGGGACACAGACAGGTTCGAGTCCTGGTCCAGGAAGATCCTCCTATGCCGTGGAGCAACTAAGCCCATGCGCCACAACTGCTGAGCCTGCGCTCTAGAGCCCACAAGCCACAACTACTGAGCCCACGTGCTACAACAACTGAAGCCCGCGTGCCAAGAGCCCATGCTCTGCAACAAGAGAAGCCACCGCAATGAGAACCCGACACACTGCAACGAAGAGTAGCCCCTGCTTGCCGCAACTAGAGAAAGCCCGTGTGCAGCAACGAAGACCCAATGCAGCCAAAAATAAATGAATAAAATAAATAAATTTTTTAAAAAACTAGAAAAAAAGAAAGTGAAAATACTTAAATTATCATTCTATCTCTATTAAATCAATTGATTGGTTTAACTGCTTTTTTTTTATGGGGGTCGGTAACTCCTGTTTCAGCCGTCATGCAGACATAACCTTTAACTAGTCATGGTGTTCTCAGAAAAAAAAAGAAAGAAATCACACCTGATGAGGAAGAAATGATTTGCTGATTTTTATGACATTCAGAAACAACTTCTTGAGAACCAGCATCTTTATCTTGTAGTCAATTAGGAGATTTGGGACAAAAAGAGAAAACAGAAAAAGGATTTCACAAGCACAGAAAAAATTAAATATACAAGTGCAGATTTTTATATATTGTGTATAAAACGTGGTAGAAAAGTAGACAGCTTAAGAATTTAATTTTTTAATTAATATGATAATTTTAGATTTTATTATTATTTATATCCTGGGCCTGATCACCTGAATGAATAACAAACTTCCAGCAAATAGGCTGCTGACTTTAGAAGACTACAGAGCAGTCAAGTACCTCCTAGGCTTTCTCAAAGATACATTTAAGAATGTTTCTCAAATGCGCACTCACCATTTGCATCAAAAAAAATCTTATTAAAAAAAAACTTGTACATGCTCAACCTCATTCAGAAAGAAATAAAAATTAAAATAACAGTTAGAGGCCTTTTTCTTTAATCTACCGGACTGGTAAAGGGTAAAAGAGTTAGCTAAATCATAGTGATGAACAACGACAACAAAAAAGGCTCTATGCAAGAAGTTACTCACTGAAGCATCATTCATAGGAGAAAAATACTGGAAACCACCTAATACATTCACTCATTACATTAATGAAGAAGTCTGTCAGGCAAAATTCCAAATAATAGCTCCTCCAACATTTATTTCCTCTATTTTTGGACACAGTTACATATATTCTTCCCACACTAAACCCAATCTAGTCCTTCTCTTCCTAACTCAACTTCAGTAGCCACGGCTTCAGGCCTCTCAATCTTAGGCATAAAATTCTAGTAAAGTCAATTATGGCACAGAGAACCCAAATTCAAAATGTTATTTCTACCAGGACTTCCCTGGCGGTCCAGTGGTTAAGACTCCGCTCTTCCAATGCAGTGGGTGCAGTTCAATCCTTGGTCAGGGAACTAAGATCCTACATGATGCATGGCGCAGCCAAAAAATAAAAAATTTTAGAATATATATTATTTCTACTGATTTAGGGTGTAGTCCATGGCATTTTTAAACAAATACCTATTACGTTTTAATAAAGTTACCATAAATTCAATTTAAAATTTAATTTTAGTTTAAAATGTGTAAAGTATATACCAGGGCTGGGGACAAGAAGCTGGGATGAGTAACTAATATCACATAATTTTATTCATTTATTTTTTACTTAAATATTTATTTATTTGGCTGCGCTGGGTCTTAGTTGCGCCATGCGGAATCTTCATTGCCATGTGCGGGACCTTTAGTTACAGCATGCAGGATCTTTAGTTGAGGAATGAGGGATCTTTAGTTGTGGCATGCAGGATCTCTCAGTTGAGGCATTTGGGATTTAGTCCCATGACCAGGGATTGAACACAGGCCCCCTGCATTGGTAGCGTGGAGTCTTAACCACTGGACCACCAGGGAAGTCCCTATCACATAATTTTAAATTCCCTTTAAATCACTGTTTTGAAAAAAAAGTTGAGATATATTAAATATTGCAAAATGTAATGAATTTTAAAAATTAAAGTGAAATAGCATTTTACCTGGGTCTGTATTTGTACTTGCATCCTGACATCCTTTAACTTTCTTTTTTACAGAGGCCATGAAATGCAATCCAGCTGAAGTATTAACATTATCCTGGAGTTTTTCTTAAATATAACAACAAAACATTGGAAGCAATCATTGAGAAGCCAATATATTACCAGGAGCCCAGAAGCAGAGTACCTAACTCAAGGGAGGTGAGGAATTCAGTGTCAAGATGTTACCAAAATGGACTTTCTGAGTGAAGTGGTATCTAAGTTGACCCTCACAGGCAGCTCAGTAGAATTAAAACCAAAATTGTGAAGGACTCTGTATGCCCAGGCTAGAAACCTATTCTTCTGACTGATGAAGATCCAGTAGAAATTGTTGAGCAGGCAAATGATATGGTCAGACTGATGTTCCAGAGAAACCACCCCAGCCAGTGTGTGGAAAATAAATTTGAGTGGATAAAATTAAAGTAAGGCAATCAGATAGATGAGGCTGCTGTAGCAGTTCAAATAAGTACCTAGTAATGGTGAGGAATAGAGGAGAGAGGATAAATTTTAGAATTACAACGATAGTAAAACACGCAAGAACTGGCTACTGACTGGTTGAGAGGGGGAAGGGGAAAGCAGAACTCAGAATAATGTGTGTTTTGATGTTAAGTTGGTAGTGACACAAATGGAGATAGAGAACACAGAAGAACAAACCAGTTGGTAGGGAAGGGATAATGAATTCAGACTGCACATGCTGTACCTGAGGTAATTTCCACCCTGGAGGAAACATTCAGCAGGAAGTAGAATCAAAGTCCAAAGACTATTATGGGAGTTTAGGTTTTGATGTGGATATTCCTGGGAGAGTACCCAGGGAGTCTAAGTAGAATAAAAGAGTATCAATGATGGCACTTGGTAGTATAATAAAAAATATTTATATTTGGTCTTTGTCCTTGGTTCCAGGAACAAAACTCCTTACACCCTTGGATTTTCCTGAGTGGTAGGAGTATGTTTTGTTATTCATGATGAGCCCCTTTTGATCATATCTGAGTTTAGGCTAATGACTCCTGGCAGGCCCCTAGATAGTTTCTGGATGGGTGCTGGTCACCAGAGGAACCAACTATCAGCCCCGCCTTACTCCCACCTCCACGGAAGGGAGAGCAGCTGGAGTTCAATCACCAATGGCCAATGATGTAATCAACCATGCCTATGTAATGAAATTTCAGTAAAAACCCTGAGACAACGAGGCTAAGGGGGCTTCTAGGTTGATGATTAAGTGGATGTGCTGGGAATTGGTGCACCCAGAAAGGGTGTGGGAGCTCTGTGTCCTCAAACCCCATACCTTGCCCTATGCATCTCTCCCCTTTGGCTGTTCCTGAGTTGTATCCTTTATAATGAAACTGTAACCACAAATAAAGTGCTTTTGTGAGTTCTAGAGTTGTTCTAGAGAATTAGTAAACCTGCTAGTAGGGGGCGGGGGTGTCATGGGAATCCCTGAATTTATATTTGACCAGACAAAAATGCAGGTGTTGGGGGACCCCATTTGCAGCTGGTGTCTAAAGGAAATAGGGAGCCTTTTGGGACTGATTCCTTAACCTCTGGGGTCTGTGCTAACTCTAGGTTATTAGTGTTAGAATGGAATTGAATTATAGGACACCCAGTAGATGTCACAGAATTGGAGAACTGTTGTTGTTTGGAATGACACAATATACATTCACTGGAGTACTACGCAGTCATTTTAAATGACATTGTAGAAGAATATCTAGTAAAGTGGGAAGATATATACCTTAATACTAGTATGTAAAAACAAGTAAGTTATAAACAAGTAGAGGAGGTATTCTTTTTATATATAAATATATATATATACACACACACATATATAATTTATAGATATATAGAGAGTAGGGATACTCAGAAAATAAACTCTAGAAGAATATTAACACTGGTTATCTCTAGACAGAAGGATTATTGGAGATTTTAATATTGGTCTTATTTTCTACTTGCATTTTCTAAATCTTCTCCAGTGAATATGTACCACCTTTGTGAAGAGAAAGAATGTTATCAAGAATGAAAAAGAAAATGGTTTTAAGACAAGTGCGTGGAAAAGAAGAACACCAGACAGATTAAGCAGCTGAGAAACAGAAGCTAAAAGGTCAGTGAGGAGACAACTGCTCAGCACGCAGAGGCCTGATGCTGGGTCGTGGCACCAAAAAAGGGAGGGAGCACCAGGCCAAGGATTATGTGAAGGAATGGGGTAACAGATGTGAGGGATAAATCAGGGGTGACTTCCAAGGTAAAAATCTTGTCCAATCAAATGAGTGGTGATATCACTAATGGGAAAATGCCAGTTTAAAATGTGGACATTGGGCTTCCCTGGTGGCGCAGTGGTTGAGAGTCCGCCTGCCGATGCAGGGGACACGGGTTCGTGCCCTGGTCCGGGAGGATCCCACATGCCGCGGAGCGGCTGGGCCCGTGAGTCATGGCCGCTGAGCCTGCGCGTCCAGAGCCTGTGCTCCGCAACGGGAGAGGTCCCAGCAGTGAGAGGCCTGCATACCACAAAAAAAAAAAAAAAAAAAAATGTGGACATGTTTTTTTTGTTTTTGTTTTGGCCACGCCATGCAGCTTGTGGGATCTCAGTTTCCCGACTAGGAATTGAACCCAGGGCCACCACAGTGAAAGCCCAGAATCCTAACCACTAGGCCACCAAAGAACTCCCGTGAACATGTTGAATTTAAGGGGAAAGTAGAAAAGAAAGAGGGGGAAGATGTATATTTGAATGTCACCAAAAAAATTTAAGAGCTGAAGTGATAAGAGTGAATGGTTGCAGAGGCACAAGAGTGTTTGTGCGTATATGTGTGAAAAATACTGAAGAGAAAGGCTGGAGAACATGTACATTCAGTGGCAAGAAATGAATTGACCAATTCAAGAAAGAAAAGAATTTACTATCTATAAACAAGTTCTTTTTTCTGAACTGATTCCTTTACTTTAATGTACATGTATTTTCTATGATTAATTTGACTCCAGGCGTGTTCTCCAATAATTTCCTTTTAGGCCTTATATATCAATATCTTATTTGAGATTCTAATTAATTGCACTGCTCTACTATAGGGGTTGGTAAACTCTGTAAAGGGCCAGATGATAAATATTTTAGGCTTTGTGAACCATATGGTCCCTTTTGCAACAAATGGAACCTGCTGCAATGTGAAAGCTGTCATAGACAATGTGTAAATAAATGGGCATGCCTGTGTTTCAATAAAACTCGATTCACAAAAGCAGGTGTAATCCAGATCTGGTCTGTGGGCCATACTTTGTCAACCACTGCTCTAACGGATAACACATCAAAACAAACACATATACATACATACACACATAAACGCCATCCTGTCAAAGATAACATGAAAGCAATTTGGTCTCATTTTTATCTACATATTTTTATTTTTATATTTTTTTCATATATCATAACTAACATTTTAACAGTGCTTACAACATACAACACTTACGTAAACATTTCTGCTTTTCCCAGTATCCCTGGGAAGTGGGTAGGTATCTACATATTTTTAGAAAGCTGATTTTAACTCTGAATGGAGATGTGACATTAATCATGCATATACATACCAAAAGGAATGTCAAAGTCTTCCAAAGGCTGGGAACCATGATGTTCTTGTTGCTCCTAAATGAATCCCCAAATGATCAAGTTATGATTAACTCAAAGACAGTCATTATTTTGAAAAAAAATATTCAATAGCTATGAGAAATGTTGATTTTTTAGGTATAGTTTAAAATCCTTTAATTCTAGAAATATTTATTCTATCAAATTATTTACTCTATCAAAATAACTCCACAAAGATACTTACGAAATTCACAAGTCAAACAATAAAAAAGAGGATTACCAATTTAATGCAGTTACTAAATTACAATATGCAATTCTCTCCTGCAAGACTAGCTTTAACTCACAAATAATATCAAAACTGTTCATGGACTCAACATTTTACTAAGTGCCTCTAGACATGTTCTTGAGGACTTACTGAAAAAAGGGTGCTAAGATTCAAGTAAACAAAACTATTTCTGTTTATTTAAACTCTTGTTGCAAATACAGGTAAATAGTCACCAAATTTAGAAGGAATGTTCGCAAAGATCTGATATAAAATATAGGTTGCATAACAAACCTATGTTTGGGAAATCCTAGAGGCACCTAAAAGAGTTAGGTGAAACTATCATAGGAGAAACCCAAATAACATGATATGCATTAAGATGTCATAGAAAAAAGGAAGAGTGATTTCAAATATAAGTCACACAAGCAGATGCTCTAAACTACAGTTTTTGATTTACCAACAAGTTGCTGTTCACATTCACAACTGTTTGTCTACTGTTGCACAGAGGGATGCAGCAGAGATTTATGTGCTTAATGATGTTAAGGTTCTCCTAGTCACAATCAGAAGCTTCCAGCAATCAGACGACTAGATAAACCACAGACATTCTAAACTCTGCGTACATGCAGACCAGGGAAGAATGTATTATAGGTTTTCTATACCTTGGGCTTCATAACTATTTCTGAATCATTATCATTAATGATGAAATCCTCTGGTTGGAAAGTCACACTTGGTTTTCTCCTTAGTTTCTCTGATCTTTTTTCTTGCAGCTCTCTTTCAGCTCGTCGTCTTTGTCTATTAAAAACAATAGTGTAAAATATATTTTTACTATTTTAGTAACATCAGTTTTTCATTTGTATCATGCTATGCAGTGGGACAGTTATCAAAATTTTGTCAATAAATTATTTTCAGTGCCATTTAATTAAATTAGCAAGATATTCTGGTAGAATACAAGCAAATATAAGCAGAAGTCAGGGACCCATGAAAGTTATTTCTAGTTCCTCTACTACTGAACTGACTTTTCTGTGTTAGTCACTAGAGTCCCAGGTTAGAGTTACACCTTTTAGGTAATTTTCAAATTCTCTTTTCTGCAGATTCTAAGCTGGCCCCAGAAACCCTACTGGATACCTCTATTCACCTATCTGAAAAAGTTAGGCAAACTCAGTCACCTCAGCAAGGAGGAAATCCCAGCAAGGAGGAAGGAGAGCCCAAAAAGTTAAGGGGAAAACTTACTTTGAAGAGGGTTTACCTGGAAAAGATGGAAGGAAAGACCATTTCTGGAAAGAGAGCACTGGTAGTAGATTTTAGGGTCTGATAAATGTGAAATTTTTAAAGTATTTTCTAAACTAAGTAATAATCTACCAGTTAATACATGTTTTGAACATCCATTATGAGTAAAACATTATAAATGCTCTTCATTAGAAGTCACAGCCTTGCTTTTTACATGCGCATTTCTTAGTGCCCTGAAACAATTCACATCACTGCTTCCTGTAAGAGTCTGGAGGATATGGTAAGAAGAATAACAATAAACGTTACTTCAGTGTATTGGACAGTATATGGAAGATTTCATGATATCAAATATTTGTGCTGCAAAAGATGACTGCTCATCCTGTTAGAGAAAAATGTAAAAAGAAACCTCTAGCCTATGAATGCCAGGAAAGAATTCCTTAATAAAATGTAAAAAATAATAGTATTTGTTTCTCACATTATAGGAATTTTTCTCATCACAAGATGTGTTCAAATGCATGACACTTGACAAGGAAACTGAATACGCAATTGTGTCAGGCTGGGAGGTTGAACCAGATAACTTCCATCTTATAACTATATTATTGTCACTAATAATAAACTTGCAGGTACATTTGCAGGTATATGCTCAAATAAAATTTCACTTAAAACTTGCCTTTTTTTACTGTCCTTTCCTTGTCTCAATTCAGATGATTCTATTTTGACTTGTAGAAGCTGGAGGTGTCCAGGACCGCCTTGTTCAAATAAATTATGCGTTAATTTTTGTTGCATTTGTTTAAATGCAATAAGGTTTTCGAGTGGAATAAGTTGTGGGTTTTGGTACTATAAGAAAAAAACAAAGCATAGTAATTTAAAATTACAAACCTCAATTAGGCAATATGTTAATAAAAAACTGAGAAACACATTGGTTTAAATTAAACTAAGACGTGCAAGAAATAGAACATATCAAAGAAAAACTGATTTGGACTGGTAAGACGAGTACGCAGATCTTAAAGTACAAATGATTTTAGAAATCATTTCCTGAAAATTTCAACTGGGCATTTTATTTCAGAAATTATGTTAAAAGTCCTCATTTTCTTCATTTCCTTTTCATATTAAAAATCTTCCTTCTTAAAATTATAAATGAAGTTATATAACGTCTAGCTTTGATTTAAAATTCTTTGGAATAGGGAGGATGCACACGGGTGGAGATTATGGATGGAACAGATTAGCAATATGTTGATAACCACTGATGCTGGGTGATGGTAACTTGGGGGTTCATTATACTATTCTAATTAAAAATATTTCTTTAGAACCTTCCCAAAATGTCTACTTTTCCACTCCTTTAAAATCCTTTCTTTTTTGTTCATAATACGTTCAGAAGAAAGGAAGGCACGATAAGTACTTTTTCTAAGGAATGACCATTTCTTTTCCCAGCACCATTTTCAAATCTTAAAAGTGTACCAGAGAATGAATTACTCAAATACTCAACTATACTGACTTACAAAACTAGAACCTAAACAATCTTAATTTCATAAATCAAAGGTTACAACTTTAAAGATGATTTGGTGGGTTTATAAAGATTTAATCTTTGTGTTTAAAGTATTTTAAAAAGATACAATTTTTTAATATGTAAAACTACTTACAGATCTGGGTCTAAATTTAACAATTTTAACCTGTAGTAGATTTGAAGGGAATCATATCACAATTGCTAGGAACCCCAAACAATGCTCTCTCTCTAGACAGACAGATATACATACACATACACACACACACACACACACACACACACAAGAACACTGGTCATTTTATTTTACTTCTTATTTCTTCTCTGAGCAGAATCTCAGAAACATCTTTTTGAAAGAGTTTAGAAAACTCTGGTACTGATACACGAAAAAGACCTAAAACCTTTAAGGTACTCCATTATTATTTTAAACCAAATTTTATATGTTGTTTTCAATAACAGAAGCATTATTTCTTTAAAAAGAAGTGTGTGGGCTTCCCTCGTGGCTCAGTGGTTGAGAGTCCGCCTGCCGATGCAGG